TGGGGCTAAAGTAAAGTAGGGGTAGGATAATATTTAGGAAAATGTGAGTAAAAAGCCAATGTGGGGAGCAATAACATAAACGCGACCAAATAATGATCTAAACTTCGTTCTCCAATTGACAACACCAACTTTCTCCAAAACATTATAAAGAACCAAAATTGGAATCAACTATACATCGTCATGAATACTTTTTTCTTTTTCTTTCAATTTAAGTAATTTCCTTAATTCTTTTCCCAAACACAACCTTACTCTTCTTACACCAAAAACTCAATTTTCTTCTTTTCTCTTACTCTTCTTTTCCCTTAACCTTTTCCTACTTTTTCTTCTCCTCTATTCTAAAAAAAAACAGCTCGTATAACTTTGGAGCCAATTTTCGGGCACTTCTGCTCAGTTTTGAGGTTTTTTATTTCACAGAAAATTGTTTATCTCAAAAAATCCTTGAGGCTAGGCTCAAGAATCACCCAATTCGTAGTTATATTGAAGGAGTTATGGCCTCTGCAAGTTCTGCCAATTCTTTCCAACGCAAATCCAATTTCTTTAATTTCTCTTCTCCTTTTCTTTTCTTTTCTTTTCTTTCTTGCGCCACCACCACCAATCACCACAACCGCCACCTCCATCCACCTGCTGGAAGGCTTCCCCACCTTGCCGCCACCTCTCTCTATTTTCCTTGGTTTTCTACCTCTTCTTCTTCTCTTCTCTTATTTAATTAATTATTATTATTATGGGGGATTTATAGAATTATGAGTGGTTTTAATTAAATAAATCAGATTTTTATTCATGTTCATGAAAAATAATTTAAAAAGTTCATGTATATATAGTTAGGGGGTTTTTAATTTAATTGTTGTGATTATTTGTTAACCTTATATTAATTAAGGTTATATTTATTTGTAGGGTGTGTTTGATCCAAGTTCTTGAGGTTTCTTTGTGTTTGCTAAGCATGGACCAAAGGTACATTTAGGTGGCTAGATACCTTTGAAATTGATAGAATTGAATAAGCATGTTTTACATGATTTTCATAATGATTGAATTAAATTGAGTTGAATTATGATTTATGAAATAAAGCATGTTTTAAAAATTGGTTTTGATAAGGATTGATTTAGTATCATGTTTTTAATGGTTTGAAATTATTTATTACATTTAAAGGAGTTTGATTTTTAAAAGTATGTTGGATGGATTTAAAGAGTTTTTTTTTTTTATAAAAAAAAAGAGGTTTGATTTTAAAAGCTTATTGAATTAAGTACAAAAGGAATTTTTGAGTTATTCTATTATAAAGGTTGATTTTATTCAAAGAGGAATTTCATGAGAATTATCGAATTATTTATTAAAATCTTTACAAGCATTATTATTATATTAATCCCACTATGCGGATTCATTGAAGGCTACGAACTTTGTATGACCTAGTCTTTCTCCAAGAATAACCTTGAAATAGTAGGAGACTAGCTTAGGGGTGTGCACGCTTAGAGAAGAGGTTGAGTTTTTGAAAATAATTGATTTGACTAATCATTATTATTGAGTTAACGAGTTATTGGTATTATTTTGAGAATATTGAGAATTGGTTTTCAAAAGAGAAATTGGTTTTCAAAAGAGGAATTGGTTTTATAAATCGTTTCATCGAATCATCAAATTATTAAGAATTGGTTTGATCATGAGTTTTGGAATTCATTGGATTGATTATTGGAATTGGTTTTAGAAAGCATGTTTTGCGAATAAATTAAATTTACTTATCTTGCAATTATCGTACTTAGCATATTTTGCTAACCCGTATTTCTTATTTGTTTTGGTTTGCCCTGTTTATCGTAATGATAAGTAGTGTTGACTAATTTTCGGTGGAGTCAAGAATAATGCATATGGGAGTCCCGGGAAAGTTCTTCACCTAGATTAGGAATGTTGGTCTTTGTTTAATTATGAGTACTCATGACTATGGTTACTATCTATATTATTAATAATAAAGAAAGTATTGAAGTTTCCGCTGCAAAGTATTGGTTTTGGTTAGTAAGTTTGAGTAGCCTTGCGTAATCACACGGCGGTAATACACCTAAGTCTATCTCTACGGTATAATTATACGTATTATACTAGTATTTCCGTAGAGGGAGATTTGGGGGTGTTACACGACCTCTATTTATGGGGAAAAAAAAGAGAGTCAAACAATCGGAAAAAGATCAGAAGTTCTGGTTGAGATAAAACTTTTTGTCGCGGCGCGAGAGGGCTATCGCGGCTCGCGACGCGATGGTCCTGTCGCTGTATGATGGCTTTAAAAGATTGAAAAGTCGTAAAGAGTTTGTTTATCTTTGCAAAATATATCCGAACGTCTTCTGATAAATCAAGGATTACCATAAGAATTCTATTCGATCTCAAGCTCTTGTTCTTTATCTTTTCGGAAGGATAAAATAGAACTTTCTAGAAGATCCTAACTGATTTAGGATTAGGAATATGATCATACGGGGCCTAAATAAAATATTTGGACTCCACATAATCATTGGGTCGTACTAAAGGTGGACCTAGGCTCGGTTTGAGCTCGGTTTAGTATTTTAGCCATATTTCATTCGTTTTAAGTCTGACTTAGGCTTATAATATATCGTTGGAAAGCTCTTTTCAAACCCCATCCATCCAAACAATAATTGGACTAGTAAAAAATGAACCAAAATAATCAGATTGGAAGATTTTTATAATATAGGTACGAAATGAATGTTTTTAATGACACGAAATGAATGATTTTGGATTTAAGGACACGTAATGAATGTTTTGGGATTTAAAACATTTTGGGTAAGGTTAGAAAGATGGTCTAGGCTTAAGGAAACTTTGCGCGAACCTTCAACTCTATGTCGAACTCATCAATCAAAATGTGAAAGACACTCATCATTGGGTTTGGTGTTTGGGGAGACACAATCAGGTGTCTACACTCACCCACATGAGTTTTAACCATAAAATTCCTTTTACGTACCTTTCTCCGAAGATGTCCATATCTTCCAAGGGCAGTCTTTGTCTTTATTCTTCCAATGACCACCAACCCTGTTTTTGTCATTCCTACTAAATTGTACTCCTTCGTTCTTTTTTACTTGACCTGCTTTGACTTTTACACTATTCACGACCTCCTTTGACCGTCTATTGTGAATAATATATAAGGAAAAACATATTCATGTAGGATCCTTTTGAATTTGTCTCAATAAGTACTATCATAATATATAACTTTTATAATTTTTACTTATGGAGAATTAAAGTTATTGATTGTTAAAATTTTACATTCGCAAGCGTGATAAAAGAAACAGGTCAAGTAAAAAAGAACAAAGGAAGTATGTTTCTACCAGTTTCAATAGATTAGTAAGTCACAACTTTCTTAAAGTTGGTTGAATTCTCAAATGACTGACCAACAAAAAACTTTGAACTACTCCCTTCATATTCTTCTTTAACATTAACTCTCTTACTTTCAGGTTGAACTAGATAACCGAAGATGACTAACAAGGGTTGTCTATTTCACTAAACCCTTCACAATCACTTGCATATCCATTAGGATCCTTACCTTTTGATTCTTCTAGCCTTTTCAACATCACCAATTCATCCTCATAGGACTTTTCCTTCTCTTTGTCCTCATTCACCCTTGTTCTGGCATTAACAAATTCTACATCATCTTCATCTGAGCCCTCAGTGTCATAGTCTATGAATGGATCAGTACACCTAGACACACCTACACTACTCAGAAGCTCAACAAAAGATCCTTGGCCCCCAAGTCCAATCCCTATTTTAGAAGCTATATGTCCAAGTTCATGTATTGTTGAGGTGAGTGACTCTAAGCTAATGTAATAGTGTAAGTGTAGGGAATTTTTCAACTCATCATTGAGCCTTACTGTGGTTCATGTTTTTCAGCATGGTGGCGTCCAAAGGAAAAGAAGCTAGAGATAAAGAGTCGCAAACAAATTTTAGGAACTTGTAAACCGTTCACGGGTATGAAGGTTACACCCCATTCATGATCACGGAGATCGCTAACTTCATAGTGGTCCAGAACAATGACTGGATGTTCAAGGATGATGGTACGAATCCAACCTAAAAGAGATTGAACCCGCCCTAAATAGGCCTCTATTTAATTCTTATGATATTCATGTGCGCTTTTCTATCAACATACATACATTAAGTTAATTCTTAACGTTAAACCTGTTTAATCTACGTTGGTTGATTATCAATGCACAATCAAATTTATTATTGGTGATCACTTGAATTATATCATATTATCCTAAATCAAATTATTAATTATCTTATTAGGCGTGATTTTAAGTACAATTTCCCTTTAAACCTGAAAAAAGGGGCGTGATCTAGTAATAACAATAAATTATATTAATCAAGCAACATATGATTAACACAACAATCATCATAACAACATCATCATCAAAACATCGTTAATGGTAAGATCCTAGGTGATTAGAGGATTTTTTCCCCCCGCGTGGACCAACCAGAATCCGCCGCATGGACCACTCAAGCCCTGCTACGTGGACCAACCAGAGTCCGCAACGTGTCACCTCGTGAGAGGTCCAAGGTGGACCAATCAGGCCACGACACGTGGCAGACAGATAACCCATCAGGAAAATGGCCTCCTACGGCCTAATTTCCTAGGCAAAGCCCAGTCAGTCCTAGGTTTCTGAAACCTAGTACTGGGCGAGTTTTCCAACACCCTATAAAAGGGAGATGTTCCCTTTGAGGAACATCATTCAGAAAACAATTAATTCACATTAACTCACAATTAGAGAAATTCAGACACCTGAGAACTCGAACTGAGCAATTACACATTGCAGATACTCTCTTGGAATCCTAGAGAGACCCTTTACTTTTCGCACTTTATTCCTCAAACACGTTCTAACTTAATCGTTGGAGGCGGAACTCCCACCCACAGGAGTCTCCATTGTTTTGCAGGTACAGGCGTCCAGAGGTCAGTCTTGGTGTTGTAACTCTCCCGCATGACATAAAAAAACCCCGAAACATTTGGCGTCGTTTGTGGGGACAGTACTTCTGAGATGACTTCACAAGAACCTGTACCACCTCTTTATGAGAAACGGCCTATGACCGATGTCCAGGTCTACTCAGACCAGGATACAGATGACGACTATGAAGTCGCCACCCGTCCCACCGAAAGGAGGGAATGGAACACTGACCAGGCAGGGCCCAGTGAAACAGTCGGCCAGCCGACTGGTCAGCTCCAGGTGGCTGAAGGATCCACCCCCATCACTAGAAACGAGCTCATGACAAGTTTCAAAGGGGAGATAAAGGATCTTATTGATAAACGGACGACTGTCCCTACCAAGGAACAGTCGGCCAAGAAGCCCTCCCATTCTGGGAGGAATAAGCCGGTCAAAGATCGAGAGGCCACTCCTTACCCTAAACTAAGGGAGGGATAGAAGCCCGTGATAAACTTGGCCAGACTTCGGTTCCCTGAGCTAGGGAAGAGGAAGGTCATCCGGCATGTACAGCCGGATGGTTCTAAGAAAACATATTCCGATGCTCGAATGATAATCCAGCAAAAGAAGAATATGCAACTGTCACAGTCGCCCTCAACGTCGAACTTCAATGACAGCTTTCAGAATACCTCAATGAGGTATTCTCAATCAAACCGAGAGGACCAGACAGGCGGCCTGTCCGCTCAATCTAGTCCTCAGATGTTCCAAGCGGCCCCGTATGCGCCTCAACAGCCATACATGCCGTATGGACAACCATATATGCAGCCTACCTTCTTCGGGGGGCAGGCGGCACATAATGTCCAGCCCTTGGACTGGCAACTCCGACTGCTAAGACTTGGGGAACAACCTTCAACTTTCTCTAAGGAAATAACTTTTTGAGGCCGCATAGCCGGCCAAGATGAAGAATGTGTTGGTAGGCACTTATGATGGTACCTCCAACCCAGAAGACCACCTGATGGCATACACCAACCTTATGTATCTTCAAGGGTTGGACGATGCCACATGGTTAAGATGCTTCCCGGCCACGTTGAAGGGCGTCGCCCAGCAATGGTTCGGCAACCTGCCAGCCGGATGCATCAATAATTTCAAGATGCTTGCCTACTTGTTTGCGTCAAACTTCTCAATGAATATCCCTGCAAAGAAAACAAGTCTTGACTTGGGAGCCATACAGTAGGGAGAGAAGGAAGGGCTACGCTCATATATCAGGCGGTTCAATTTGATGAAAATTCAGATTCAAGGATTGTCTGATGAGGTGGCCTATACTGACTTTTTCAAAGATCTGAAGGACGGGTCGGCCTTCAATTTCGACCTCGTCCAAAAAAGGGTACCTACCCTCCAAGAAGCACAGATGGAGGCGGACGCCTATATACAGGCGACCGAGCTCTGTAATATCAATAAACAGTCGGACTCAAGGAGGTCTGACAAAAAAGAGAGTCGGCCATCACAGCCGGCTAAGAAAGAAGAAAAGAAGTCTGGGTGGCTGATACTACTGAACAACCATCCTAGAAGAAAAAGAAAGAAGCAAAGACAGTTACTCCATCCTCATGGAGATTAAGTACCGGGTCTCTATTGAGAAGCCGGCCCCCATGAGAGGTTCTGCCAAAAATCAGAACAAAAACAAATACTGCCACTACCATGAGGATATTGGCCATGACACCAACAAATGCTATAGCCTCAAGCGTCTGTTGGACCGCCTGGCAAACAAAGGGGTACTCAAGTCCTATGTTCTGAGGTCCAAAGTTCCTTACAAACTAACACTGGGCAGCCGCCCAAAAAGAAGCCCTACTCTGCTAATAGTTCGGATACTGATGAAACTCCGATCTATACAATAGCAGGCGGCTTCGCCGGAGGTGACCCAATAATTCGAAGTAACAAGGACTACATCCGAAAGCTCGACATCAACTTGGTCGACGAGGGGCAGGCGTACAAACATTCCTTCCCTGAAGTTGTAGTTACTGAGGATGATAGGGGCAAATCAGAAGGTCGCATGATGACCCTATTGTCATCGAATGCAAAGTGGCCAACCAAAGAGTTGGCCGGATCCTCCTTGACAACGGGAGTTTGTCTGACCTCATCAGTCACAAGTGCCTGACCAAGCTCAGGTACAAGCTCGAGAGTATGCACCAGGTCTCTCATCCCTTAATGGGATTTGGGGGTGGTGTGGTACATCCGGTAGGTCGAATAGACTAACCTATACGTCTGGACAAGAAAGGGAAGGGACGCCACATGGTGGTCCGGTTCTTAGTTTTTGAAGAACTAACGGCCTACAACATGATTTTGGGGCGTCCCACCCTGAATGAATCCAAGGCTGTTATCATTCCGTCTCTCATGCTTCTCAAGTTTGAGAGGGATGATGGAACAGTCGGCTCCCTCCGAGGAGACCAGAAGATGGCCAGGGAGTGTTACCTCTCTGATCGTCCTGGATGACTCTCGTCCTGACCAAACTGTTAAGGTTGGGACGACTGCTTTTGCTGAACTCGGTGCATACTTGCACCACTTGTTAAAAGAATTCAAAGACATCTTTGCCTTTGAGGTGGACGAGATGCCAGGCATCAGCCCGGATCTAGCCGTCCACAAGCTTGCTGTGGATCCCAAAAAGAAGCCTGTAAGGCAAAAGAAGAGGAACCATGGTGAAGAAAGAAGCCAGGCGGCAGCCACCGAGGTGAAAAAATTGTTAGATGATGGTTTCATTCGGCAATACTACTTCCCTGATTGGGTTGCCAATGTTGTCCTAGTAAAGAAGCCGAATGAAACCTGGCGCATGCGTGTAGATTACACAGACTTAAACAAGGCATGTCCGAAGGATAGTTATCCTCTCCCAAAGATCGACAGTCTGGTCGACTCTACAACCGTCCATGCCTTGATGAGCTTCATGGACGCCTATTCAGGCTTCCACCAGATACCCTTGTGGAAGAAAGATCAAGAAAAGACGGCATTCGTCACTGATCAGGGGTTATTCTGCTATATTGTGATGCCGTTTGGTTTGAAGAATGCGCCTACTACCTTCTAGAGAATGATTAATACAGTCTTCGTTTATCAAATTGGAAGGAATGTGGAGGCGTACATTGATGATATGATTGTCAAATCCAAACTTCAGACGGATCATCTTACAGATCTCCGAGAAACATCGCCACACTCAGGCGGCACCAGGTCATGCTCAATCCCAAGAAATGTGTTTTTGGTGTTGAGTCTGGGAAGTTCCTCGGATTTCTGATCGATCAAAGGGGGATAAAGGCCAATCCAGAAAAAATACAAGCGGTCATAGACATGCAGTCGCCCCGTACTGTAAAGGAAGTTCAAAAATTAACAGGTTGTCTGGCAGCATTGGGGAGATTCCTCAGTAGGTCAGGCGACAAGTGCCTCTATTTCTTCCAAGCAATCAAGAAGAAGGCTATGTTTGACTGGGGGACGGATGCATAGGCGGCCTTCCAAAAGTTGAAGAAACACTTGCACTCTTTGCTAAGGCTCGTCGGCCCTCTGTCAAAGGAAGCGTTATACATGTACTTGGCCGTCTCTGATCATGCTCTCAGTGTTGTTCTCCTTGCTGAAAGAGACGGCTGCAAGCTCCCCGTCTATTTCATCAGCCATGTTCTGAAAAATGCTGAGTTACAGTACCCCATGGTTGAAAATTTTGGCCTGGCCCTCTTCATGGCAGTTCAGAAGTTGAAACCTTACTTCTTGGCACATCCGGTCGTGGTCTACACTGACCAACCAATTAAGCGGCCACTGACAACCATGGAATCATCCGGCCGAATGATTAAATGGGCAATTGAAATGCAAAGCCTAGAAATTACTTTTGAGCCAAGGAAAGCAGTGAAGGGGCAGGCACTTGTAGACTTCATTGTTGAAATGACTAGGCCGACTGATCTAGATAATCTTGACCAAGTCTGGAAGGTATATACGGACGGGAGCTCCACAATGAACAGCTGCGGCGCAGGCATCATATGTTAGTCTCCTGAAGGAGACAAATATGAATATGCACTGCGTTTTAAGTTACAGGCCTCGAACAATGAGGCAGAATATGAAGCCCTACTAGCCGGAATGCGCATGTGTAAGGCGGCTGGGGCAAAGAAAGTGGACGCTTGTTCAGATTCGCAATTGATTGTTAGCCAATACCATGGTGACTATGAAGCCACACATCCGGCTATGATCAAGTATTTACAGGTGGTCAAAGATGAGGCTGGGACACTTGAGGAATCCCATCTAAGTCAAATGCCCAGGTCCGAGAATATCCAAGGCGGATGCCCTCTCTAAATTGGCATCATCCGCCTCTTGTGACACACCAAGGTCTGTTTTCTGGGAAGTGATGGAAAAAAGAAGCATCGAGGAGGAACCTATTGGAGTCCTTGATCGAAGCTCAACCTGGATGGATGGCATCCGGGTATACTTAATAGACGACACCCTGTCGGATACTTACCCAGAGATGATCGTAATGAAAAAGCGTGCGTCTAACTTTGAGATTCACAAAGGTGAACTTTTCAAGAAAAGGCTATCTACAACCTCTTTTGAAGTGTGTTACCCCATAAAGGGCCGAGAGGTCCTCGAAGAATTGCATTCAGGGTTCTGCGCCTCCCACATAGGCGGCAGGACCCTATCAAAGAGACCAGGCGGCAAGGCTACTTCTGGCCTACCCTAGAAGCAGACGCCATGGAGATGGTGAAAAAATGTGACAAGTGTCAAAGGTTTGGCAAGCTCATCCATCGTCCGGCCACTAACCTGATGGCTATCCATAGCCCAGTACCATTCGCCAAATAAGGCATGGACATTCTGGATCCTTATACGCCTGCTACAGGCGGACGAAGATATATTTTGGTAGCAGTCGACTACTTCACCAAGTGGGTAGAAGCGGAAGCAGTCAAAGGCATTAAAACAAAAGATGTCATCTCCTTCATTTCACTAGTAGAAATTTTGAAATAGGCACCCCCCCCTTTAGCACCGGTTCTTGAAAACCAGTGCCAAAAGAAATGGGCGGGAAAATTCAGAGTTGGCATCGGCTCCAACCAAAACCGGTGCCAACCAAAAAAAAAAAAAAAAAACGAAGAAAGCAATAGAGTTGGCACCGGTTCGTCTCAAACCGGTGCCCACTATAGTAGTTAGCACCGGTTTGAACCGGTGCCATAAAAAAAAAACCGGGCTTCTCGTATTTCTTCTTCTTCTTCTCTTCTTTCCCCATGATTTTTCAACTTGTTTTTTCCCTCATAAGCTCGTTCTCACCTTCTCTTCCAGGCCACCACCTCCGAATTCCCACCTTCTCCATTGAAGCCGTTTTTTAGCTCTCTCACTCCATTGAAGCAGCTGCATGCACCTCCTTCTCTCTCCATATCTCTCCTCCATTGAACTCGTGCTCTCTATTCTCCATTGAAGCGCATTCTGAGTTTTCTCACCTCCATTGAAGCAGCTTTGAGGTAAGATTTGGGCCATTGTGGTCTTCTTAATCTACCAAATTTCTTCGCAACCTAGGGTTTGTCGTTGATTTGGTTTTCAATTTTGTAATTTTAGGGTTCTGGTTTTTAACTTGAGAGCTTTTTTAACATTTTTGGGTAAAATTTCGCCTTTGAATTGATTTAATCAATAATCGTAGTCGGTCGATATAATCATGCAAGGTAGAAAACCCAATTTGTTTGCCGAATTATTCAAATTTTGAGCGTTTACTGGAGTCGATTGATATAATCAATGAATCCTGCTAACACTGTTTTTGGTTGTTTTCTCTAATTTTTTTCAATTTTTTGTTGCGATTTTTAGTTTTTGGATTAGATATGTTTATTTTCTTGCTAATTTTGTATTAAATTGTTGCTAATTATTTTCTTGCTAAAATGTACGATTACGTTTTTATGTTGATGTTCCTTGTGATGTTAAGTGGGTGACTTAGACATAGCATGACATCAGTGTCAAAGCATTGAAATGAGAATATTGGGCTTGGGAATTTAAATAGATTTCATCCTGGGCATACATACATCATGTTCAAGTTTTCCTTTGGTGTAGTTGTAGTTTCTTCTCCCTGTTTATTCTAAAGAATCGCTGATTATGTTTGTTCCAAGCTTATACTGCACTGTATATGAAGCCTGAAATTTTCATTGTACATTTGCTCTGGTATTTTGGGGTAGGGAGATATGTTCCTCTGGTGAACCTTAATGACCAATGCATACTTTTCGTTTTTCATTAGTCCTTTTCTAATAAGGGGGAAGTTGTGCTAACATTTACTTCTGATATTGGTGCCTTAGGTTTGTGTTTATGTGATTTGCTTATGTCCTGGGATTAGGCTATCCATACTTGTGTCTTTTATTTGATTGATGTTGGCTACCTTCTTGTCCTCAATAGAGTTTGCTTTTTGGGTATAACACCTACTAAGTTGCTATAGTACTCAGCAATTGATTTTAGTAGCATAATTGAGTTAAACATTTGATGGGGAATGTCCACACTTGAGGTATATTTTAGGACCCTTTGTTGTTTCTTTTGATTTTTATAGCGTGGTACTGTTCTAGTGAACACTGTCTTCGCAAATATGGTTTGGACCCTTTTTTGCTCTCCTTTTTTTTTTTTATTGATTTTGACCTAATTATTGTGATTGATTTTGTGTTTTTTATTTGATTTTAGGTTTGAGATTTGATGATTGTTATGATCCAATGGAAGATCATGATATCAAAGAAGCCCCAAATCGACTTCATCGTGAGATTGTTGACGCTCGTAATCAGCGTCTTTTGCGTGCTATGGACCTTTCTATGATGCACGAGTACCTTCCTGAAGATCTTCAGGTTCTCTTTCTATCTCGCTTGTTTAATAATCTGGTTTGTAATTTGATTTAGGATTATTGCTTTAATTATTGCAGACAAAAGTATATTTTGGATTAGTAATTACTTTTGTTGATGGTTTTATGGATTAGTGAATTGCTTTGTCAGCTAATTCTGTAGATTGTGAAGTTGATTTTGCAAATGAAATGATTTTTTTGTTATAGAAAGAGAAATTTGAATCAATATTTGCTTGAAATGGCTTGTAGGTTGTTATTTAGTATTTACTGATGGTTTATATAGTGATTACATTTCAACTTAATTATTGTTATAATTTACTTGCTGGTGGTACAACATTAGTTTTGCTTCTCTCTCAATTTTATGCCTCATTTTGCTGCTAGGTACTGTTACTCTTACCACCATTTTCACTCTCTTTTCTATGATTTTTTTTATGGTCTGTGATAAAAGATTGGACTTTTATCTCTGGGTTGCTTGATTGATTGTTTCTTTCATATGGGTATTTGATTTTTTGGTAGGATATTAAATTGGTTTTGTTGGGCTTTTTTTGGTTTAGGTTTATGTGTGATAGTGAGGTTCAACTGATAGCTTGGGAGTTTTTTCTGGGCAGCAACCATGAGGAGTCGAAGCAGAGAGCAGCGCTGTGTAGCTCTATTGCGACGGAACAGACTAACTGTTTTGTTGGAGGTTGAAAGCCGTATTTTGTGAGGAATTTTGGGCATCAAATAGAAGAAAAGCGGCGGCAGCCTTGAAGAAGCAGTAGATTTGAAGCTCCGGTGAAGCACTTCGCTTCCTTGGGGTAGTTCGTGGCTGCTGTTTTCCCCTCTCAACTCCAGGAATTTGGTACTCTTTGTTTATTTTTTCAGTTCATAGTTTTGCATGTAGTGGTTTAGAAACTTATGTTTTGGTTCAATTAATTGATAGAATTTGCTTAGATTATTCCATTGTCTTATTAGATTAGATGGTTTGGGATAATTATAATTAGAATTTTGTTAGTGCTTTCTATATATGCTATTGTTAGGCAGCTTATATTTATCTGTTATCAGGCGAGCCGAACGTGATTGTGAGTTCCTTGAAACAGAAAAAAGCATGCTTACATTCTTTTAGTGGGTGCTCATATCTTCGATGACAATACAGGGGATAAGATGGGCCTATCTCCATTCCTACTTTGTGGTACTAATTCAGCCATCCTTCTTCTCCCTAAATTTTTAAAAATGTCTTGTGCTTGATTATATAAGTTACTTAAGTGAATATGTCCATGTCTTTTCCAGCCAAGCAGGATTCGTATCAGAATGAGTACTTGCGTGGACACTGCTTCCTCATAGCTGAACTACAAAATGTGGATCTTGTTCTTGATGGCAGGTGTGTGCTTTCTGTCATGGTCATTTTAAAGTCACCATTGAAATTCAAAATTGTAATTAGGAAGGTTTTGCATTGTAATTGTTGGCTTTTAAGGAATATATATGCTATCAGTATATGCCAAAACATGATTGAAAATGTATATATGTCTACTTGAGCTGATTGCCCAGTGAAGACATGCACTTTATAGCAAGCAATTTTTCTGGATAATTCCAAAAGTAGTATAGGGATTTCTTATACAATTTATGTGATAATTGCCGCCGCAAATCCTTTTAGTTGATTCCCATTTTCGATTGAATTAGGAGAAAGAAAATTTCAAGAGAGAGAAATGGCATGTGTACGCGCGATCATAGCTGTGAAGATTAAGATTGTTCAACAGTTCAACTAATTGATCTCTTCACAGAATACTTCTTCCTAAGGTAAGAATCTTTTCTTTATGTTCTCAATTTACCCACAAATTCCAATATTGTTAATTTTTAGTCAGCTTAATGTTTTTTTTAATAAATATCCGGTTTTTTTATTCAATTTAAAGGCACCCCAATAGTTTGAAATTTCTGGAAAACGTGTTTGTAATTAAAGAATTTCAATTTGTAAGTTTTGTTTATTTCAGTTATGTACTTCTTCCGTAGTAGTATGATTTTTTTTCTAGCGTTGTTATTATTTCAATTTTGAGTATGTTAGGCTAGATTTAATACGGGATAGAGGTATATTATACATTGGATTATTATGCTGTGAGAATGAATATGTTATGATTTGAGATTATTATGTTTATATCTTGATTGGATTGATAATTTGTATTTTTTTTTTCTTTTAAATTCTGTCCCTTGTTTCAAAAAAAAAAAAAAATTATCTATTTTGCAGTTGTTAACTTCATATTCCCATCAAATTTTTTGTCCCTTGCTTCAAAATTTTATTTTTTCTTTTAAATTCTGTCCCTTGTTTCAGAGCTTCTGTTTTCTGTCCCTGCTGGTTTGCTATGGTCTGTCTTTCTGCTGGCCTGTTGTGTAGCTGTTCTGCGTTCCTGAGCTTGGTTCTGATGTGGTGGCTACTGTGCTGGTGTCTTTGCTCTGGTGCAGTTTGTGTTTCTGTGACCCTGGGACTGTTCTGCTATGGTTCAGATTGCTATGATGCTGTTTGCGTTTGGTCTGGTCAGTTTTTCAGTTGCGGTTTTGCTGATTTGCTTTGCTCTGATTCTGTGTTGCTGAGTGCTAGGTTTTATGGGCTGATCCTTGAAGCTTTCTCAGCTGGTGCTGTCTGACTGTTGTTCTTCAGGGACCTACTGGCGCCTGCTCTGCACTGGTTGGGCTGTTGGTTTGGGTGCTGTACAGTAGTGGTGTGGTTTCGTGTTGCTGTTTTGGTGGGCTGCTAGGTTGTAATATTATTTAATTTTTTTTGGACGAAAATTGTAATATTACAGCCTTTTTTAATGAAAATATGTAACTTTATATATATGTTAATGTTTCTATATCAATATAAGCGAAAAAAATGCAAAAAATTTATTTTTTTTTTTTTATTTTTTTGGGGTATTTCTGGCACCGGTTTTAAGCAAGAACCGGTGCCTATAGTGGGGTTTTTTGCACCGGTTCTTGCTTAAAACCGGTGCCAATAGTGTTGATAATAATAAAAAAAAATTCGCGCCTTTGAAGTTGGCACCGGTTAACCAGTGCCAAAGCCTTTAGTTGGCGCCGGTTTTGAACCGATGCCAAATTTTTGAGGATTTGGCATCCCTCAAATCCCCAACGGCTCAAAACCGGTGCCTTAGGGGGGTTTGAACCGGTGCCAAATTACCTTTTTTGTCTAGTGTTTGGAGAAATGTCATCACTTGGTATGGGGTACCCATGCCTATGGTCTTTGACAATGGACCTCAATTTGAGACGTCTGCTCTCAAGAACTGGTTGGGAGACCAAGGGATCTCTCACTGTTTTGCATCAGTCGGTCGCCCCCAAGCAAATGGCCAGGTTGAAGCCTTTAACAAGTTAATCTCTGATGGCATCAAAAAGAAGATTGAAAAAGCTGGCGGCCTATGGGCTAACGAGCTACCGCATGTTTTATGGGCCATCAGGACGACTGAAAAAGGGGCAACTGGTGAAACTCCATTTCTCATGGTTTATGGGGCAGAGGTTGTTCTGCCTATTGAGCACTATGAGCCGACTCTTCGAGTCATGATTTATGACGAAGAAGCTAACTGGGAGGCCATGCGGCTAGCATTGGATTCACTTCCAAAACGCAGGGGCAATGCAGCCTTGCGCCATGAGATCTACCGTCTAAGAATGACGAGAGCTTACAATAAAAGAGTGCACAAGCGGCCCCTAAATGTAGGGGACTTTGTGTTATGAAAAATGGAAGCAGTCGGTAAGGCCAACAAGCAGGGAAAGCTGACTCCTAATTGGGATGACCCCTACCGAATCTATGAAGAAGTTAGAGGCGGCACCTACCGCCTGGAAATTCCAGACGGCAGGCAGCTAGCCAGAACTTGGAACGTAGACAACTTGAAAAAGTACTATTTCTGAGATTTGTAAATTATTTGTATATGTAAGCCAATTAATAAAACTTACAATTTATCTTTCAGTTTTTTACAAGTCTCCTCAGTGGGGCAAGCCGCCTGTATAATACACAGTCGGCCTTATTTCTTTTAATCACTTACTCTCGCATGAGTAAAAATGATATGCCTAGACAACTTAGCAAACTGTTCTCTGAACAACCTAATGAGGCCACAGGCCGGATGATCAACCTGAGGCCCATGGCCAAATGATCCTTATGAAATTAAACTAATACGTCTGTCCCAAAAAAGGGCAGGCATCCGGCGACATCCATCCGGGTAAATTCGTCGCAGAGAGCATCTCCCATTTGGGTGGCACATTACTCTATAAACCTAAAACAAACGACCCTACCAAGCGTCTCCAAGACAACCTCGCAGTCGTTTGACCTGAGACGAAGATAAACGTATTTATTGCGAACACGCGGTAGACAGTTAAAATCTAAGTCAGAAACCGCCTGTTATTGCTTGGGGCAATACAGTCGGCATGATTTGAGTAAATAGCTAAGCAAAACTTGGCAAATAAAGAGGTACCATGCGGCCAAAGACGCATGTTTCTTCTACTCACTCAAATAAAAGTGACAGAGATTGATTAACCCAAAGGGTTAACTCATAGTCACACTGGCAACCTTTGAATGGAACCTAAACAGTGCGAACCAAACCGCCTGCTTTCTGGTAAACAGACGGTATTCGGCCACTATTCCTTCTATTGGTTAGCAAGAAATAACCGCTTGTAAACCTACAATCGACTACTACGGCTGAATATTCCAAGCGCCGCCTGTTTCCATACGAGAAACGATTAATGGCCTAAAAATTGTAAACAGAGAAACAACATGCGGCCACGGTCGACTGATTCTTCTGTTTACTCAAGTGACGGAGAGTGATTAACCTCAAAAGGTTAACTCATAGTCACTCACCCAACCTACAATGGAATCTAAAAGGTACGAATGAAGCCGCCTGTCCTTGTAATAAATAAACAGACGGCATTCAGTCACTATTCCTATTTAGGTTAGCAACACCGTGGAAGCTACTTTGATTAAAAACATCCAGATTGGCGCCTGTTCTGTACAAGCACCAAGCAAACAGACTATTTACGATCAATAAAATAAACTAAGTACAAACTTAGTATAGTGCGGTTTACTATAAGGCCGAGAGCCGAGTTATGCTAGGTATTCGCCTATGCAATGGCCGACTGAACGCCTGGTTTGGGGCAATCACCATAGTGATTGATTGACCTAGAATTAGTAATAATCAAAAGTATAAAAAATTCCAGGTCAATCAACTCACCTTCGAAAACCAGGCGCCAGTCGCCCTGGGGTAAGAACAGTCGGTATATAAAGCATTCATGAAAACAAGAAGCAAACTACATACACTTAGCAAAATTCGTGAAAAGAAAAAATTCAAAAATTCAAAATTTGGAGAAACCGGCAAAAACGACCGGATAATTAATATAAACAGTTGGCCAAGTGACCGACAAGAATGTTAGAAATTGAAATTGTCAATAAACCCAGACCCCTTGGTCGGGTAATGATACAAAGCAAGTGGCACGCAGGCCAAAGAAAGACTTTAAGCTTCTGGAGGAGGCTTCTCAGATTCAGGAGCCGCATCCTTCTGGTCCCCAGCCGGCTTCTCCTTGTTCTTGCCATCCGCCTCCTCCTCCTCTTCATGGTCCGACTCCCCAAAGGTGGAATCAGACGACTCGCCACCCTCCTTTTCTTCATCATGGTCTTGCCCCATGATCTTGTCATTGTACTCTCGAGTACAGGTGGCGAACTGATTCTTCCAGCTATCATAGCTGGTCTCTGGAAAGAGGGTCGCCCAGGTCATCTTCATGATGAAGTTGGTGTCCTCCATCATGTCCTTGACAAGCGCCTGCTTATCCTCATCGGCCCTTGAAGTGTATTTTTTTGGCAAGCTGGGTCTCCTGGTTGGCCAGCCGCTGCTTCAGTTTGTCTACCCGACTGCGGAGGCCGGCTGCTTCTTGGTCCGCCTCCTTTAGAGGCACGAGCTCAGCCTTGAGGTCTGATACGGACTTCTCCAGTTCTGAGATCCTCTTCTGGGCCGCCTCTAAGTCCTTATTGACTTGTAAATTGGTAGACGCCTGATAATATAGTATGTTAGTGGTCAGAATTTCGTTTTGTGCAATCTGGAACATAGCTTTGTCCTAATCAGAGGCGGCCCGGGCCTTCGCAGCCTTTATCTCTTTGTTCTTTTCGCTCAGGGGCTTGTGGAGACCATACACTCGCAGCATAGGCTGCACTCGGCCAAAAACAGTCATCAGTTACAGGCGCTAGACAATTATTTAAGCAAACAAAGAACTTCTTACTAAGTATACCTCGGCCAGGAGAGCCAGGATGGCTTCAAGGTTAAGGGTGCCGACTCCCTTAACAGACTCCCTTTCCTCGACAAGGATGGCCTTCAGCATGGACTTAGCCATCTGAACCAGATCCGGCTTTTGAGGGACATCTGCACAATCAATACCCTGTAAGTACTTGGTGTAAATTCGACCAATAGACCGACTCCTCTCAGAGGTCCTAGACGACTACCAATTGAATTTGACCCTAAGAGGGTAAGGGAAAGGACACAAGTCTTTAATACCTTCAGTAGCCGCCTCCTTCTCCTTCCCCTACCGACTGCCAGCAGGGACGGCTGGAGATTTTGGGGGTGGATTGCCTCCTGGCCTTGAGGCCACATGTTTCCTGGCTCTCCCAGGAGTCGTCACATCACCAGCCGTCTGCTTCCTAACCTTAGGATCCGGCTGGGAGGAGGAGGAAGGCTTTGTTAAAGTGCCCTGCAAAATAATCGCAATAAGTAAGAAGTAGGCAGCAGAAAAGCTAAATGAAATCTGTTTAGTTGAAAGTTCACCTTTGACGCCTGCACAACAGGCAATTCTTCAGCTGGCCGCTTGCCAAGGATGGCCGAGCGGTACTGAGCATCAGCTTTCTTAGAGGCCGAGAGCTTTTCCATAGCTTTTTCTGCAAAAGATGAATCAAGGAGTTAGTTTGACAAAAAATAATTCAAGTTTCACAAGACATTTAAACAGGCGGTCAGCTACCTCTCGGCATCTCTTCACTAAGGCCACAGGCGGCCAGATATGTCCCATCGTATAACCACTTATACTTGGGAACATAGTTTTGAGGAATGAACTCCCTCGCCCCAGTCTCGGGGTTCGCCTGTATATTTACTTTGAAGAGCCCTCTGTCAAGGATCTCTTCTTTGGCTTTACGGGGAACAGGCGGCAGCTCAGAGCCGCCTGTTAGGAAAGGTGGGTTCCTGTTCCACCTGTTAAATTTTTTGTTCCTAATTGTGTCAGGACTGGAGACGATGTAGAAAGTGTTCCTCCAATCTTTCCACTTGTTCTTCTTCCCCACAGTCATCATATAGCCTTTGTGGCTAGACAGCTGATACCAGTCGGTCCCGCTTGTCTTTGGGGTCCGGCTGAGGTAGTGCATATGAGCGAATGCCTCAAAGCTTGGCTCTACCTCATGCATTTCACAGCCGGCAACATAGCCCAAGATGTTGAACCAAGAGTTTGGGGCTAGTTGCCAGACACCTAGCTGGTATCCGTCCAAAATATTCTCTACAGCCGGATGTAGAGGAAATCTCAGGCTGGCCTTAATTACCGCCTCATAGCAGCAAAAAATAAGCTTCCCTGTAGCTGGACTGCTCAGGCCAGACTAAAGTGTCCTCGACATCCGGCGTGCAAAGGACATACCCATGTCCCATGACATGGTCAGCTCTGAAGCTCCCAATTAATTCAGCCATCATTTTCCGCCTGCCTACGGATGATGATAGTAGGCGGTGTATTGCTCTCGGTTGGTGGCAGACGGCTCCGCCCAGTTTGGTCCCAAGTCTACTATAAGGGACTCTCGCGCAGTCTCTAGCCGAGAGTGCCTCTCTTCAGACTCATCCGAAAATTTGCTTGAAGTGGTTGGCTCAGAATTGCTATCTGAGCTCTCGGATGAAGAGTCCGCCTGGCGGGCCAGATCAACAAAGGCTGGCATAACATTTTCAACTTCTTTCCTTGATTCGTCTAAAATGGAATCACTAGGGGTACTTGGGGCACCAGGCGGCACGTCAGACAACTCGCTGACAGGCGCATGAAAGAAAGAGCGGTCTGAATTTGTCACCCTTGTTGTTCTCTTAGTTCTGGCCATGGTGTCCTGCACACACACATAGACAGTCAGACTTGGGGCAGTTTGCAAAGGGTGATCCAGCAAGGGGCAGTCGACACTCCTAATTCTAGATTCAGCCTTCCCCGGTGACCGGCTGATCACTAACCTAGGCCGTGCCGTGTGCTTTTGGGAAACCATCTTAAAAAAAAACAAAGTACGAAAAAATAAAAAGAAACAGACGGTTACCTTTAGTTGATGAAGATGAAAGTACTTGAAAATCTACAACGGCTGTAAGAGCAGGCGGTTTGTAAAACAAGCGGTCTGGTGCAGTCGGATGCTCTCTCTCAGAAAAAGACAAAAGCTCTCCAGAATTTTTTGGAAATGTCCAAACAAATGATTTGGACATACCCTATTTATAAGGGGGGTGAATTCCAAGAAACAGTAAAAAAAAAAACGGTAAAAACCATGGCGTGACACCTGTCACAGGCGCCACGTGGCATGCCACGTCACCCCTGTGAGGGGCAAATGATTAGGGGATTTTTCCCCGCCGCGTGGACCAACCATAATCCGCTGCATGGACCACTCAAGCCTTGCCACGTGTCATCCACGTGGACCAACCAGAGTCCACCACGTGTCACCTCGTGAGAGGTCCAAGGTGGACCAATCAGGCCATGACACGTGGCAGACAGATAGCCCATCAGGAAAATGGCCTCCTACGGCCCAATTTCCTAGGCAAAGCCTAGTCAGTCCTAGGTTTCTAAAACCTAGTACTGGGCAAGTTTTCCAACACCCTATAAAAGGGAGATGTTCCCTCTAAGGAACATCATTCAGAAAACAATTAATTCACATTAACTCACAATTAGAGAAAGTCAGACACCTGACACCTCGAACTGAGCAATTACACATTGCAGATACTCTCCGTTGTTTTGCAAGTACAGGCGTCCAGAGGTCAGACTTGGTGTTGTAACTCTCCTGCAGGACATCAAAAAACCCCGAAACACTAGGTATGATACTAAATGGATTAATAACAAACCCTAGCATGTCACTAATAATCACAATCAAAGCTTTATCCTAAACATGATACTAAAAATCATAAAAACACCCTAAGCATGATATTAGGAATTAAAACATGATTTCTACTTCAAAATAAAAAAATAAAAATAATAGAATTACTCACTTTGATGCCTCGGCTTTCTTGCTATCAAAACAATAAACACGTTAGTAACTTCAAGAAATTTAAATCAATAAAGTAAATAAATCAGCTATGAATTGAAATATAGTTTTGGGACCAAACCCTCAGAACTATCAACCTTTCATGTCGAGGTCAAAGGTAACGTCGAGAATGGCTAGGGGTATTCAAGTCTCGTGAATGAGGTATAGTGGATGATTTGGGAAAGTATCAAGGATAAGAACATGGGGATCAAGAGAGAGAATAAATGATTATGAAGATTGTGGTGATTGTTGATGGCTATTGTCCATGACCTGAAACGGGGAGAAACGACCTCTATTTATAAGGAAAAAAGAGAGTCAAAGCAATCAGAAAAGATCATAATTTGAATCAAAATAAAACAGGTTTCATCGCAGGGCGATAGACCTATCGCGGCGTGCCAGGGTCCATCGTGGCGCGATGGTCCAACAGTTTTGCGGTTTTTGTTTTTATCATGACTTTTGATCCAGAAATCGGAATAAGATAAATAATATATCGCTGGAAAGATCTTGAAGTTTAATTTCCAACCCAATTGGAATCATATTAATATCTTTTTTAGAATTTAAGATATGATCAAAATAGTAAAATAGTGTCAATTGTGGATAGAGTTTAGTATTTTAATCATATCTTTTTCGGTTTCAATCGGAATTGGGGATTATGATATATCATTGGAAAGATATTTCAAGGGCTATCGAACCATCCAAGATTTGGATAATAACTATGAGGCACGAAACTCAGAATGGCTCGATTTGCAAGTATCCAACAAATTATGGACTCAGTTTAGTATTTTGGCCATAACTTATTCGTTTAAAGTCGGATTTGGGCTTAAAATATATCGTTAGAAAGCTCATTTCAAGCCCATCCAACTAAGTAATAATTGGACCAGGATTATGGACCAAAATTTTCTAGTTTGGACGTTTTTATAAGTTGGACACAAAATGAATGATTTTGTGTTTAAAAGCACGAATTGAATGATTTTGGATTAAAACATTTTAGGAAAGGTTAGGGGTATGGTCAAGGGTTAAGGGAACGTCACGAGACTCTTCAACTCTTTACCGAACTCGTTAACCAAAGATGTGAAAGGTACTCATCACTGGGTTTGGTTTTTGGGGAGACACAATTAGTTGTCTATAGTAAGGAAAGGATCACAAGACCTACTGTCAAACCCCAAATATCTTATACCAGATTGGAAATCCTTTCTAGGGTCCCAAAAGTGAACTTTAACTATGTCTGTATATCCTAAGCTATCAACTATTTGTTGCACATATTTAACATCAACATCTTCTGGTATATCATCAAATGAATTCACTCTCCCCCATTGTAAATCATTTGACCAGTTTCAACCCATTGTTCATATGCCAACATTTTTTAATTCCATTAGAGAGGTCTTCTTACACTATGGCTCTCTTTAACAAACTAACAACACAGCTTAATTTATCTATTATTTAACAACAAAAACTTCAAACACCACACACTAATCAAGATTAACAACTTAGTTTAATCAAAAACAAAACCTTTGCAAGAAAATTATCAAAAAATTAGTATTTACTCATTTGTAAAAGACAAACAAAGACTTTATATAGTAGTAAACAACAAACAACCCACACAAGATTCAAGAAGGAACATACAAAGAAAAGAAATATACCTTTAGGTGAGGTCAATTTCGAAGCTTTGCGATCTCTTTCCTCTACTTGATAAATGGCAGGCCAAGTCATGAATATTTTAACAAAACTTTCTATTTTTGGAGAGCTTTTTTAATGGAGTAAATGTGACTGTGAAGGTCCCCCCTTTGTACTTGCTTATATAGGGAAGTGGGAAATAAAGGTTGTCTGAAATGAAATGAGGAGGGAGAAATAAGGGTAATCTTGGGAAGCTTCCTGAAGTGCATTCCCCCCACAAGTTGTTGGAGCCTTGGAATATGAGAAGGCATCAAATCCCATTTACCAATGCAATGTCATCATTGCTCTATTTTTTCGAATTTGATTAAATTATTATTTTAACTAAAACCGATTAATACCGATTAGAACAGGTAAAGTAGCCGGAATATTCTCTCCGACATGTACTATTCCATAGTTTAGTACCCAATTTGCAACTTCTGTTAGTTGAGTAACGAATTTACAACAAATATAGTACCTAGTTTTTTATATATATATATATATATATTTTTTTTTTTTTTTTTTATTTTTTTTCTTTTTTTTTTTTGAGGAAATTAGTACCTAGTTTTATACTCGTAGTTCACTCAAATATTGGGAGTAATCTAGTTGAGTCGTTAGAGGAGGTTCTATTTTCCTTTTGAAAAAAAAAAGAAAAAAATAAAGGTTCCATTTTAGCTGTGGTACGGGCACAAGCCACAAGGCGAGGAAGAGTAAAACTGTATTTGTAGGAACTTCCTTCATCAATGCAGATATTCTTTCTTTCCGACACTCTCTACATTCAAACAAGATCATTCTTCTAATTCTAACTCTATCAAAATTGGAAAAAAAATAAAAAATTCTTTGAAATATTTTGTACTTTATTCAACTATTAAATGGCGGTTTTAGCGAATCCGCTTATTCATCTGCCACTATATTTAGCAAAAACCTCTTTCAAATGCTCCAGAAAGTCTGTTAGAACTCCAATTATTCGTTTGAGGTAAATTTAATTTCCAATTTCGTTAAAATTGTAAGTACTGTTGAAATGATATCAAAAGTAGATTATAGGCCACGGCGATGGGGTCAATAGAGTTTCACGTATTAATATTTTACTTTAAGAGGATTACTTCAACTATTGCGGGGTTTAGGAACGCCTTTTGTTTTATTAGTGTAGATTTATCTGTTAATTAGGTACTCAATTTAGTTATTTTTGTATTTTAAATTTGTTGTCATGAGTATTTATGGATAAAATCTTCAGAAATAGTTTAGACAAATGTGTTATGAGTTAATTGTTTGTTAATTTTTGTATTAGTTACTTTATTGTCAGGCACGTACTATATGTTTCCGGGATACAATTGGCGAAATTTGGTAGTCATTGATCAATCTTACGAAAATAAGTTACTCATTATGTGATTAGGAGTGTGTAGTGGTAACCAACTATCAAGGCTGAATGATTATTCAGAAAAAAATGCTACAAGAAATGATAATATGAGGAAGTATGGAGTAAAATGAAATCATAGTCGTTTCATGGTCGAAGTTGCAGGTTTGTGGATGATTCCTAGTCAAGCTAGTAAGGTATAGAAAAATAATTGGGGAATCGAGTAGTAGATTGGAAAATAAGGCTCGGTTTGTTTTCATGGAAAACAATTTTTGGGAAAATGATTCTCCATGGAAATTAAATTCTAAGGGAAAACTCAATTGTAAAAACAATTTTCCTTTGTTTGTTTCCTTACAAGAAAAGTTATAGAGAAAGGGGAATATAGGAGTGGAAGGAAGAAGATGGATGAAAGGAGAGATAAGGGATGTAAGGAGTAGGAGGGAAAATGTGGCATGCCTTCTTTTCAAAAAGAAAACATTTTCCACTCTTGGGAGAACTATTTTCCACCTTTGAGAAAATTGTTTTCCATTCTTTACTAACCAAACAATGAAAATGATAAAATTATTATCTTGGAGAATGTTTTCGATCAAAACAAACGGAGCCCACGTGTGTTTGTTATTTTTCATTTCTCTCCATTTGTCAGTGGAATACAATATAAGGCATGAATTGATTTTGTTATGAATATTCTTGTTTAAGGTGCCTTATTGGAGTATGTTTTGTGGAAATTCAAATTTTTAAATATAATTTTATCTATAAAAAAAATTCATTGTTGAATATTGTAGTTATGTTTGTATTTAATTTTTGTTTGACAGTTCGGAAGATCATGATAGCATGGAATTATCTCAGGTATGGTTGTTTGGTATTTCACTAGTTGACTTGATACTTTCTGTTGTCCAACAAAATGTAGATTGTTATTTATTACTGATTTTTATTTTTACAACGAATAATGAACAGCCGTCTACTAGCCAATCGGAACTGCAAACTAGTGATGTATGGCTACTCTTCACAGAAGCTCAGCAGAGTAAGAGCCCTGCTGTCATAGAATCAAATTTGAAATCAATGTATAATTCAATAAAAATAGTAAAGGAGCAGTTGCCTATGAGATTGTTTGGTTTTTGCAGACATATTGTACTTGAACAAACAACGTACGGCAGCTTTAGAGGAGCTGAGTAAGGTGAAAAATGAAATTCAAACTTTGCATCAAAGAATAGAGACTCTGGAGGCTGGGAAGCATAAAAGTACTGGAAGAGGTGATTTAGTCATAGATTTTAACTTTGAAGGAGAACTAGGAACTTGATGCGATTTTTTTTTTTACTTCCTTCCTGACGGTCCATTTGTGTGATAATGTCTGTATTTATTCCTTATCAGCGATGCAATAAATATCGTAAAATGAACTTTTGAATTATTGTTCTTAACTAGACTCAAAACTATGGGTTATGATCTTGGATCATCTATGAATTTCAGAAACATAACTGTGCTGTTGTGTCTGTGCTTCTTTAGTATAGACCCTTCGGGCTATTCATAAGTTTTTTTTTTTTTTTTTTTTTTTTTTTTTTTTTTTTTTTTTTTTTTTCACATGAAAAGGACTAGTGTTATTATTTTTTCTACGCAGTATCACAGTTGCCCAAGCCATGAGGATCAGGTTTGGCTTTTCTTGGGTGTATGTATGGTTTCAGTTTGCAAATTTTAAGTTTATAAGATTGTAGCTGCTGACTAACAAATTGAGAGCTGGGTTGAGGGTTAAAAAAGGGATTGTGTTTCCCTTTCATTCACAAATAAGAGTCAAATGGGAGACCTCCCAATCGTAAGTCTGGGGACTGGGGGTTTGATTCTCACCTTCCCAAAGCTTATGGTTGGGTGTTATTGTGAATTTTTTCAAGGGAAAATACCAGTTTAATACTTACCAGCAAGGCTAAATTGTGGGCTGGGTCCCCTTCCCCTTAAACCATACACCCCCCTGGAGCAGCTTTACACAATAAGATTAACTTTAGTCTGATTTGTGCAATATACCATTCCTCTTCCACTTCACATACACATTCTTAGATTGACACATAAATATAACAATACGTACCAATTTTCTTGAAGTGGTTAGAGCAAAAGTGGCGTTTGTTTCTTTTGAGAGCTAATATCCCAGCCATCTATCATGTTATATACAGATGCTTAGTTGACATTCAGACCCTTTTTACATTGTCTGGTTAAAAGAAAGGGAAAGGAGAATGTGTTAATATGGATGGCATGTCTACTGACTTTGTCCTTGGGATAATATTTTACATATTTTGAATGCTTTGATATTCACTTCTAGATGCATATGTCATTTTTGTCATACTGATTCTTTGTAACCTTGTATTTTTAAGTATGATACATTTTCAGGGAACTGTTTGCTTTTACTTGTGGTTCATCTGAAGTTGTAATAATTTATTTATTTATTTTTCTATATAACAGATGAATCAATTCTCTGGGAATTACTTCTTCGGATTGATTCAATGGTCCTCACAGGCATGATTGAGAGAGGAGATGCATGTGATTTACGAAAGCTGGTCATGGATTCTAAGGTCAGTTTACAGGATGACTTCATTCCTCTTTTGCAGAAGAGGGATGCTGAGCTTTTGGCAGAACTGCGCCGATTGTCAGAGCAAACTAAAAGGTGAAATTTTAATTAAAAATTTGTGGATTCCTGTAGTTATTAAGTTTATTTTGTTTTAAAGATTGTTGCTAGGAGTGTTTTTGAGAGTGTAAGTTGTAGCATTGAAAAAATTGAAAGTTAAAGGGAAGTTCTGGAAGTTGCAAGAGTTTACAATCAAAAGAGGAATTTGTTGATTCTTCACTGTATCTGTAGTTAAGATCAAGGAAATGAAATTAATTTCTTGAATATTGAAATCATCACTTAATACAGTAAAAGGAGACCAAGTACAGAAGGTGTTCCTATTATCTACAGGTATTACATTTTACATGCAGAAGATGGGTGCAACTGCTTTAGCTGCTAAATGCTAGTAGTCTATCACAGAATTTGACCCAATTCTTTAATTTCTAAAATGTTTCTATAGATGGCAGCCCATAACAAGTTTACACCATAGAATTCCCAAAGGTTTTTTTGGTGTAATGAGTAGTACTTGGTACTCTGTTAGATTGGATTCACACTATTGTGTAAGGATTATTTTCTCCAAGTTCTTGAGTTTCTCTTTTGAATCTACAGGTGTATTGAGATTTCTAATAGAGGAGTGTCAGGATTTTAATGAAAACGAGGGTAAGAAGACTTCCGATAGGCGTTGTAAATCAACTAGTAAAGGAGATAGTATGTAATTTATGGCTTTTGACAAGAACAATGAGGTGGATCAACCTAATAACGTGTATGAACCAAAGAAAAATCCTTTTACTAGAAGTGTGACGTGCTCAAGTGTTCCAAGTGCCAAGTAAGAGGTCATTAAGCTTGTGATTGTCTGAATAATTATATTATGACCGCTAAAGAAAAAGGTAAGAGTTGGAGTACGAAGAGGTGATTATGTGCCCCGAGAGGGGTGATGATAGTTGGGTGAATGACTATAAACCCACGAGTGGTCATTTTCTTTTTTGTTCATGAATAGAACTTACTACAAAGAGAGCAAGAGAAAAATGGCATTAAGGAGGATAATATATTTGTCTCATGTTTGTTTTCAGACCCAATTATGATTCATGGAAGAATCATGATTCAAGAAGAGATTGATATGGATATCAAGGGTATTTAGGTTTTTTTTTTTTTTTTTTTTTTAAATTTAATTTTTTAAGTTTATTTTATCAAATTAATGTGAGCCCAAATTATAAGAAACTTAAGATTTTATTTCAAGTAGGATAATTTTTAGGGAAGTTGTATGGGTTTTCTTATTCCTTAAGATTAGCATGTGACAAAAAAAGATTGTGTTCCACTGCAATTTAAAAACCTGGCTAACATAGGATTAATAAGCCTATATAAAGGCCTTAGCTCCTTAACTTGTAACAGTTTAATTGGAGTGTTGAGATTAAAAATGGTCAAAGGTTAGGTTTGATTTGACTCTAGATAAAATACCTAGATTTTGTGATGTCTCTTTGACGTAGCAAAATCATACCACCTTAATTCTCATTAGAAAACAAAGAATGCCCTTGTAAGTGTGTATTCTACGAACCCGCTTACCTCTTTACCTTTTTTCACTTTATGTTTTCCTTTTATTCTTCCTTAATTCCTTTTAGCCTCACCAAAGTTTGGATTTTTATTTTTTCAAAACTTTTGGTAGGTAGAACATCTGATGTTTATATGCTTGTCATTACTGGCAAGTCGTAATGTTGCCAAACTTCTATGAACAACTTGCTTCTTTGTCAAATTTAAGGTCACTGTTGGCCTGCAATTGTCTGTTCCCTCTATTATTTTCTTTTCCCTTTTGTGAAATACTCATCTTGTTGTGCCCTTCGTTATGTCACTTGTAGATTGTAATTCTTATTCTCCCTTCCTTTTGACGAGGAAAAGGCTATTAATAGTATTTTCCATCCAGGCACGTGAAAATCAGGTAGGCTATAAAGTTTCAACAGACCATACCCTTTTTTTGTATACAATTTACTATATGAAATTACTTTGGAAAAGGTGTAATTTACTCATTATAAATGAAAAACCAAACCATATATACAAACAATATTTTAATGATTTGTGGAAATGAAGATGTACTACTATGAAATGATTCTAAAATTCATGGATTAGTACAGTAATGACCCACTCGATACAAAAGAAATAAAAATAAGCATTTGACTGAATGAAAACTGAATAACCATGGAATTTAAGAAAATGAATACCTTGTAAGTTGTTAATGTGCAATTTATCAAGTTTACGCTTTATAAATACAAATTCATTTCTAAAACACAAAAAGATCATTTGTGTTTTTGAAATTCTTAAAGCAATTAGAAATTAAACTAAACAATTTCGAGAACAACCTTTTATAAATAAACTAGAAAAATTTTTTGAAATGAAAAACTAAATAATTGAAAGGATTGAGATCCCTATAACTAGAAATTAACAAAAAAGGAAACTTGATGCCCTTTGATCTATAATAATTGAGATTTAGACTTTACAGGGCTTTATGAAACTCTTGTTGCATGTGTATTCCTTTTATATCTTTTGATGTCGGGGCTGTTCCTTAAACTAATAAGCATTCAACTTTTTGTTCAGGAATGGCTTTTATATTATACACGTTTGCACCGAAATGGAGCCAATGATTTCTGTTGGATCTTTAGGACCTTATGTTACCGGCATATCACGTGCTTTGCAAAGGAAGGGAAATTTGGTTGAGGTTATTTTACCAAAGTAATCATGGATCTCATATTTCATGTTTTAGCTATGTTATTGACAATATACATGCAATGGACTACGTTTGCTTTTATCTTTTTGCATTCTACTAATGTCTGATCTTTAATTTTTTAGATTTGACAATAGATTTATATTGTCAAAGAGCACTAACATTAACCCTAAGTTTGTCAAGATTTTGATTAAGATTATCTTTACGCAATTTTGACCTTTAGTTATAATATGGTGATAGAAATTTGGGGTCAAACCTAACAATTTCATACTAGAAATGTGAAATGAGGCCTATCGTTTTGGGACAATTAGGAATAACACTCCCTTACAATCTGGCTTTCAAATTGAAGATTAGGGATTGAACCATAGCCTTAAGAATCAACCCTAATATTAGGAACTTATATGTTTGTTTTTTTTGTATATTTGATTATTATCTTAAGAGGGGATAGAAATGTCAAACACATGTCTTACCTTCTGATGCTGAAGCTAGAGAAACCAGAATATGTGCTCTGGTGTCTATCAATGCCTTCCTGCTCAGTTGTCTATGGGTTACTACAGTTGACTTAATTTTCTATGGTTGTTAAGGTAAATTGGATATCTTGATATGTTTATATCCATGGTGTATGGTGGCATTGGTATTTAGATGGTGAATATGTGAGTTGAATGATCAAGCAATGCAATTTATGGTCCATTAAAGTGAGAAGTTAAAATGGCTAATGCATTTCCGCTGTTGTTTCTAGGCTCATATTTTTCGAAATACATGCCTCCTCCCATCTCTTTTTGAGTGCCTTAATAGATTATGCTTGCAATGTAAGCTTGTAGGTAGCTGTTGCCAATAGATACATGGGCAAATGGTGATCATAATAGAAAGCCAGTATTACCAAGATTATTTTAATTGATTAATCATATGTTTGGTAAGAGATTCCTTTTTGATCCCCTATAATTCATTCCAGTAGATATATTGATAAGAGATTCCTTTTTGATCCCCTATAATTCATTCCAATTGATATATACAAAGTATATAGGATGATGATTAGAGTATTTATGAATACTTCAGTGTGCTTACCCTGTTTGAGAGTCTCGGATCTGCTACTGAAATAGAAAATATAAGGTGCTTGAGAATCCAGTGATTTGGGCCCAATCTTAATTGGCACATGTCTCACAATCGAATACATTTTATAAACAGGTATAAAAGCTTGGATTTGACTGAGGTACAAGGATTACAAGAAATACAAACGGAATTTTATTCATATTTCAATGGACAATTACATGGAAACAAAGTATGGACTGGGTGAGAATTTATCCCTTTTGTCTATATGTCCCTTCTGTACATGAATTTGGGTAACTAAATTTGTTATTGAGTATTTGATATGGGAAAATTGTATTTGGTCTATCTATTGAATTGTTTATAATTCATGTGTAATTTGATGCTGAATGCATATGAATTCAATTTTGAAACAGTGTGGTCAATGGGATTGGAGTGACTTTTATTCAGCCTCTGTACAATTTGTCATTCTTTGACCGTGAGATGGTTTATGGCTACTCTGATGATTTTGAAAGGTACATGTATGCACATGTTCAGTTTTACCTCGTGTAGTCATGCTACATTGGCTATTGTACAAATAACTTTGTCAATGGTGTCCATCAAAAGAATTATTAGAACTTCAGTTATTTTCTTATTGCATTATGGTGAATTACATTTTGCTAATTGGTACATGTGAAATCACAATCTTGTCTCTTGGTAGAATTTGTAGAGGACTGCATGCTTGCTTTTTCTTCCAAGTAACTAAAGCTTAGGACATGGTTGGAATATGTCCTACAATTATTGATGATATAAAGTTATAAACTTCTGGTAACATCATCACTAGCCAACTTTTATACCAATATGTCATCACATGTTAACTTTTATACCAAAATGTCGCTGTTGGCTAACTTTTATACTAATCTGTCACAACTTGCTAACTTATATACCAATCTGTCGTCGACGATAACTTTTATACCAATATGTCACAAGGGTGCTAACTTTTATACCAATATGGCTAATTGGCCATACTTAAAATATGCTTTCCAACAACTTATGGTGTTACTTCATAGTGAGATGAGAAGTTTTAAACGCTTGTAAAGATTAAAATATGAGTTTGAAGTTTTCCTTCAATAAAATCAGTAATGGTTGGTGTATATTCTTTTCTCAGAACTGTTAGTTGAATATATCCTTCATAATGCATAATTAATTTAAATAGAGAATATTTATCTAGTTACATAATGTAATTTCTTGCATTACTTTGTGAGAGACATTTATGTAAAAGATTTTTTAACTTTAAAGTTCTTCGTTGTATTAGGCTTATGAAGTGTGGAAAGTGCAAGGTTTTTTTTTTTCCTCTGTTGTATGATGAACACAATTATATCCTAATGGGTTGTTTATTAGATGTTGTCAGATTCACATACTTCTCTCGTGCTTCATTGGATTATTTGGTAAAACTGGGAAAGTATCCTGATGTTTTACATATACATAATTGGGAGACTGCTATAATTGGGCCACTCTTCTGGGATATATTTTCTAACCAGGTATAAATGAGATACACTACCTTTTTTATTTTTATTTTTGAATGTTTCTGATAATTTTTAGGATTATGAACATAATAATTTCTAAAATATGTCTGTTTTATGTCAGATCCTTCGATATTAGTTTATCGACAATTAACATCTCCCTTTGTACTTGATTTAAAGTTGCATCACTGTGAGGAAAAAGTTTACTTATTTCTGTAATAAAAAACAACATTAAATGGCTATGGTTGGCGACTATTATGACTGATTGTCTTACAACCATTGTAAAGGTTGATGCATTCTTAGTAAGTAGGTTTATCTCTTTTGTCTACATATCCTCCTTGCCAGTCATCTACACATGCACGCACACAACCAAATAACTGAAACCAAGGACTTGGGCCTCTAAGTGCTAACCAAATCAGCTATATGGATCTCATAAACTCCTATTTATTGAATAAGTGATGATCCAATTGTTCTAGTACTAGGAACTTGCTGAAGTATATTAGTGAAATGATCTATGAGCAATTTGCAAGGTTGTTCAAACAAGCAAATAATTCAAACAAACAAATATATACCTCCTTTTACTAACACGTGTAGTAATGAGTAAGAGACTGTTCTCTAGGAGTGGTGCGGCTAAACTGAATGCTAACAATTGTTTAAGTTAATTTGAAGGACTGGGTAATGATAATCTTAACTAATGCTAATAAACTAAACATGACAACAAAAAAGAAAAAAAAAGGGGAGTTAATAAGAATAAGATAGGATAAATGAGTGATCGGGCATGGAATCAATGATACAAGAAATTTTGATGATTAATGATCGCATGAGCACTTATCGTATGAGAAACAAATTTATCAATTTGCACATTTAGAATTCTCTTTCGTGACGTATTTGTCCTAAATACTGGGAAACCATATTCTCATTAGAAGAGTGAGTATTAAGGTGTCAAAAACAAGCTCAAATTAGTGATGATAACCTAAGATGAGTAGGATCATGTTCTCATGCCATTTTTAAGCTATTCACCCCAAACAATGCTAATAATTTGATTGATCACATCATTTGCTAGTCCCTTACCCTTACAAGGAATTTACTCACTCATGGAAGTGAAATCAAACATGATCATCATAAGGAGAATACACTTACAACAACAACAACAATCAAAGCCTTCATCCCAAAGATGGCCCCTGTACTCGTCAACCATGATACTCGCCTTTTATTCCATAAGAGAGAAAGCAATTAAACCAAGTAATATCATCAACCTAGCAATTACTCTACTCAAAACTAAAACCAAAATTCTAAACATAGTTAAGCATGTAAATCAACTCATTAAGCGTGAAATTAATAAGAGATAAAGCAAAGATATGAAAAACAAAAGCAAAGGATAGAAAGATTACTGAATATGGTCATTGGATTGAACTTGAAATTGAAGTACAATGGTTTTCTCTCTTTAATTAAGCTTCTCTCCCTGGAAATTGAAAATATACTAAAAACTAATTCCACAAAGCTTTGAAATCAGATTCTATATATATAAATAAGCAAGGAGAAAAGAAGAAAATATGGTGCACATGCAGGTTGTTGGTGGTGCCAGCGCATCACGTGGGTAGGTTGGTGTTGGCCCACCGCCCAATGCCCGGACTGAGGACAAAGTTGCTGCGTTTATGGTTTGGGGGTGTGGCCATGCTGATGCATGCTCGGGTGTTGCTATGGTGTGAGATTTTGCTCTTTTGGTGAGGGCACACCGAGGGGCAGTATCCACACCATTTGTTCACGTCACTACTTAAGGCTCTTCTCCTTTGACTATCTTATTTTCAATCTTCCCAAGTCTTCCAAACTCCAATGCTTCAACATCAAGCATGCTCAGGGAACCAAGTAACACACACATGAGTCCAAAACATCGAAAATCAGGAGAGAAATCATCAAATTAGGGCATTAAACCAACTAAATGAATCCTCTCTCAACTTTCACTTAGTAATTAAAGATCATGAAAATGAGCCAATTATTGAACTAAATTAGCTAAAATCCTTAATGAAAATGGCCAAAATGAGCCAATCTGGCACCTTGAGCAAGGTTGATTTGTCTCTGTCTTACTTTTACTTACACCCACCAACCTCTTTATACATTCTCTTACTATATTGACCTTGCTCTTACACCCACGCACCACATCAATACTATCTCTCTAATTGCCTTAATTTCTACTTAGCATTACAATCAATTACCCATAATGCTTGATTTCATTTCATCTTACTGTATATTTTCTCTCATATACATCAAACGTCCAGTTTATTACTGATAATAATCATCTACTTCCCTTGGCTCTCATCACTAACTTTCCAATATTATATTAACTTTCACATTAAACTTGCAAATATCACAAAAATAAGCATAGGTAAATGAGTAGAAGATGATCACAAAGAATCACTTGCAAACATCAAAAGATGTGGTTCACTTTGATCCCCTAGAAGGTTGGAGCATTTAATGCCAAGGAGATATGCCTTCTAAGTTTTGTAATCAAGAAGAGATGGTCTCATGCAATTATAACCCATGGGTAAGACCAATTTTGTGAGTATATGATAGCCATCAGACAAAAGGTAGCTTATGTAACTTTTGTGGCTCATAATGCTTTGAATGCATGACTTACTGCACCAATGTTAAATAATGGTTCTCAGACATGGCAATGACATTTGGGCATTTCAATAAGCTTTATGTTTCTGATTATCTCTAGAGTGTGGTCCTCTTGAATAATGACTGTTATGTTCAGGGATTTGCAGGTACCAGAATACTATTGACATGCCAAAGCTTTGCTTCCCAGGTATACATTTTTTTTTGTTCTTTTCCCTTTATTTTATGTCTCATTATCCTATGATATGCTCTAACCATGAAAATATGACCTCTAGTGCCTTGAGCAGCCTGAAAAGCTTGAACTCTGTGGACTTGATCCCTCTAGAATTAATCGTCCAGATCGTCTGCAAGATAATAATAAGCCGCATCTTGTGAATCTTTTGAAGGTAAAGTTTTAGAATGATATCCAAGAGGAATGATTACTTTTGACTCGAGATTATAGTTCTCAACCATGTTTTTCTTTTTTCTGGATATTATCTTGGAGTGATGGTTTCATCCATGTTTTTCTCTTTTCTTGCATATTATTTTTAATCAGTCGTTGCATTGTCCGTGTAAATAGACCTAACAAAAATGGATGTAACTTGAATAATCTCAAAATTTGGGAGTTGAAAAAAAAAAATAAAAATCATTTCAAACCTAGATCTATGTCATCAAAAAATTTCTTATTTTGGTTGGGTGGAAACAATTGGTGTATTTTGTGAAAGCACCATGTGCAAAATTCGTGTAACATATCATTCCCTACTACACATTACTACCTCCATCCAAAATTAATGCTGGAAGTGCTTTATTATGCTTCCCAAGATACAACTTTAAGCAAATATCATTTACTTTGTATTGAAAACAATAAATAAAAATTGATATTTAGGAATGTCACATAATGATCTCATTTGACTATGATTTTTTCTTTTTTATTAATGAGAATGTATAGTCAATAATTTTGGGATAGAGGGAGTACATGTATTGTGTTCTCTTTTTTCTTAACTTCTTTATTCAGTTTCCATTAATTTCATTGGTTTCACTTTCCTACACTTTTTCTTTGGTACTGTGGTGTATGTGTTTCTCCCACCTCCTTTGTTCTGCGAGTACTATTTTTTTTAGGGTAGTATTGATTTTAAGTGGTTTTTTAGACTACATGTTTGATTTTATTGACTTTTATCCTTGATAAAAGTATTAGCTTTGCCTCAATTTAGAAAGTCTCAAAATATTTTCTTTTCCTCATAGTTTGCCAAGATAATTGCCTTTCATAATAGGTATGCATTGAAGATTTGAAGCTGCATGTTGTACCCCATTTTCTAATCATCAACATAATGGCAGAAATGCTGATCCAAGATTTAAGTCTATTCATTTATACTTCTCTGTTTTCTGTTATATTTCACATTTGAAGGGAAATAAGGAAATTCCAAAAAAGAGAAAAAGTAGGTAGAACATAAAAGGAAGTTCCAAGTTGGAGAGTGGAAAGGCAACGGTAGTACTATATTAATATGAAAAAAATACATCATGCAATATAATGGTTTCTTCCTTTAATATCTGTTTTGATGTTTTGCCATCCCTATATACTCAGTTGCTTCTTTTTGTGTTTGATCTGTTGGCAGCATATATTGTACCAAATGGTGTTAATTCATTAAGAAATTATTGTATTTGCATGTTTATGATCATGATTTGTACTTGTAATAATATAGAAGAAATGCGTTTTTTCTTACACTTCATTTGAAAGTTATTTGGTGTCATGGTTTGAAAATGCGGTTTTGGTTACGATCATGGGAACGGTTGCGGTGTCGCGGGAACGAGTATGATGCATTGATTGCGGACCGTGTCACGGTTATCGCGATGCAAATTTGATTTAAAGATAGTAGAGTTTTAGAGCCATCAATGGAGAGATATGGTAGAATAGTAAAGGATTTGAGCCATTAGTGGGGAGATCTTTCACTATATCTTTGAATAGGAAGTAACTTTTGAGTGAAACAATTGATGTAACTTTCAATAAGGGGTGATTTAGGGTTGGAATGTTTGATTCGGACAAAATCGCGGGTTTTTTTAACACCCCTTGTTGATACGGACAATCTCGGTTCGGTCGATTGAAAATCCTTTACAAAACGGCCCAACCTAGATGTCGCGGCCTTGTTTTTACACCATGTTTGGTGTTGCCAAGTATTAATTGCCATGTTAACCAAAATCTGGAGACTTTGAATTAAATTCACAGTCGCTTTCTACCTGTCCACCTTCAGCATGTCCCAAGGCCCCAACTAGTGAATTGCCCAAACGGCAAAACCCAAAGTAGACCTGACGTGCTTACCCAATTTTTCTCTGTAATACATGTAGTTCTTTTTTTAGTTTGTGCCTGTATCTTAGCTTATTTCCTAGTGATAATATCATCAAATTTTCAATTAACTTTGTTCTCTTGTTAAAATTACAGGGTGGAGTTGTTTACTCCAATAAAGTAGTGGCTATGTCATCCATGAATTCAAAAGAAAGAATCATCCAGAGTCTAGGTCATGGCTTGGAGACAACGTTGTCCATTCATAAGTAATTCTATCATACTTTTATTTATATTGAGAATTTCTCTCCGTCTTCTCTAGCCAAGATGGTTTAGACCTAAATTAGTGGGCTGCCTATGTGAAACTCTTACAAATATTGTCATTACACTCTGGATACAGGGATAAGCTAGTTATTGCTCCATATGGATTTGATCAAACCACTTGGGATCCTTCGAGGGATGAATTACTTCCTGAAAACTATAGTGTCAGTGACATGAATGGAAAAGCCATTTGTAAAGGTTCACTACAGAGACGCATGGGATTAATTGAGGATGCTTCATCTATACTGGTTTGTCTTTTGAATACTCTCATTTTTTGTGCTTGCTGTGCCTACACCCTCTAGCGGACCATGTTCTTTGCAGAAAACACAATGTTTAAGTAACGAGAAGGAAAAAGGGACCCAATATATTTTAAGCATCTGATGAAACATTATTAATAGAATATTTGCTCAGTTGGCGATGAAATGTCTAGAACAGATATTACATTTTAGTCTTCTCAAATCCTCTAATAGGTTGACTACATATTGGGGAGTTGCTATATTTGTTCTTGACCTTCTTGTTGTGTATCTAAGCATTGATCCGCTGTTAGGTTGGATGCATCTTCTTTGAAATTTCAGATGTGGATCTGGAGAATCTGATGCAGATTACTGCTTTGAGTGGAATTCAGGTTCTGCGACATCTCTATCATGTCTATTAAGCCCCTTTAAGATGCATTCAGTTTTCTGTTGGTAGTGTTTCTAATAAAATGTGTAAATTATATTACTATTAAAATGCTAAGTATGTCCATGTTTTATCACAGTTTGTCATTATTGGAGAAAGCAAGCTACCTAGCATCAACAATGTGCTACAAACTCTCAGTGGAGTTAAGGTGAATTATCTTGTAACTGCTTCAAATCACAATTTCTCGTATCTTCATGTTTCAAATTTAACTTGTTTGTCTTTGCATTCAATTTTAAATTTATTGTTCATACCTAATTTGGATGGAGGTGTAAAATCATTAAACGATGTTGGAAAAGATAGCTAACTTTGTTTTCAAAACTTCATCATTACCCCTGATTTTCCTTCAGGGCATGCTTGGATTGGGGGAGATGTATTACTAGGGTAATAAAAGTCAAACTAAGCAAAATGAAAGTGAAAATAGGGAAGGAGGAGATAGTGATGGTGTGATTGTAAGGAAAATTATGTAGTGATGGTGTGGTATGAGGTGAAAATAGAGGAACTAATACCCTCATTTTGGGGGTAATAGTTACACTAGGGGGAGGGTGGGTAACTATTACCCTCATTATGAGGGTAATAATTCCTCCATCTCTCTCTTTTCCTCATGGCACAATTACTTTATTTCATTTGTAAACACCATGCCTCCTATAACAACACCTCTAGTTACTTATGTTTTTTCAAGTTTGACTTTTATTACCCCTTAATATATTACCCCCAATCCAAGCAAGGCCTCAGAAAGAATCTTTGAGATTTGAGATTACCCTGATTATGTGGTATTATTCAGAATGATCAAATCTTTATAGGCTTGCCTCATTCAATTCTTTCATGCGTATTATCTAAACTTATCTTGCATAATTATAACATCATAGATATTTGGAAATCTTAAGACACTATGCATATCCGCTATAAGACTTTATGATTGCCGCCTGATGTTAGAAGATTTCTGAATTCTGATACAAAATTTCCGAAGTTACATGTAACCCGGTAATTATCCTTTCTATGATATGAGAACCCTGAAAATGGATTTTAATGCATACAGAGTTTAGATTTTACTTAACTCAAACCTTATCCAGTTTCTGTGGTTATAGCCCTTATAGCAACTGAGCTGTAAGTGTGGTTTATTGATTAAGGTCTAAATCATACGGCTGAGCACAGATCGCATATCCGAAATTTTATGGGTCAGATATATCAGATATCCAATATCTGAAATACTGTTTTTTTCCTTGAATAATTTGTCAATAACAATATCTAAAATATCCCCAAAGTTTGAATAATTATATCAGATATCCGATTAAACAAATCATAACATCTTAGCCTAAAAACTTTCAACTTTGGATTTATATGTACATTTTTATGAATTTTTTTTAACATATCACAAAGTTTGGATATTGGAGTAGATACCCATAATCCAATACTTCCTCCGTTCCCCTAATATTGCAACAAGGGGGTAAGACACAAAATTTAATATGATGAGAGAGATAGAGAGAAATAAAAATAGGGACTCATGTGATGAGGAGTGAGAGAGAGAAGGAGAGAGAGAGAAAGCATGTGTATATATGGTAATGTTGCAATATTTGTGAAACTTCCTAAAATAGTAATTGTTGCCAATGGCGGAGCCACCATAGGACCTGGTCGTGCCCTACCAGAAAAAAGAAAAGAAAAAAAAGGTGCAAATTAATTAAAAATTACATAAATAGAATACAAAGCAACTAATTATGTTCAAGCTTAGCAGCAGCTTAGTGGTTGGAAATATACCTTTTCTATCAAAGGTCATGGGTTCAATTCTCGTCCAACATTCAATTTTTCCAAATTATTTTGCAGATTTTGGAAATAGGATATCCAAAATCTGAAAATTTTGGATAAAAATCCTAGATTATGGCCAGACATTTGGATATTCAGATATTCAAAGAAATTTTGCTCAACTCTATTAGTAAAACTTTTTATTGATGTGGCGACTGCAAATTGGGTCAATGATCAATAGTGAAAGAATACTAGCTGTTAAGATGGGACGTGTACAAAAGAGCAAATGAGAAGATGCAGAATTAATCTTGTTCACTTTCAAATGAAGAAAATCCGAAATATATCTAACCCATTTTGGTGGCAGTAAATTTTTTTTTAATTATACCATGGTAGATTTACTTGGATGAAGAGTTTGAAATTAGAGTCTTCATCTAGTATTAGGTAAGGTTTGTTGGAGGTTTTTGAAAATTTTGGCAGTTGTATTTTTGCTAACATAATTAAAAAGCATGAGTGGTGGGTGGTTAGGGTCTGATGGCTAGATCTCTCAAATAAACATAATTTGGTTGGATTTATTTCATGTTTAGGTTGATAAAATTTCCATTGCTTTGCTTTTCCTGGTTATAATCATCACTTTAGCTCAAATAACATATACCTATAATATTATGTTGTGACTGGAAAGGCAGCAGTGCTCATTTAAAAACATAGCAATTAACAAAAGTTGATGCATAAAGTCGAGAAACAAAAATGGATATAAGAGAAAAGAATGGTGTGTTGATAGCTTGTAATACTCTTACAAGATACTTCAAGGTCATTACTCATCTCATGTAATCTTTGAATTTGCATCATATGATTCAATTATTCAAGTATCAAAAGCTTGGGAAAGCTGGTCATGCTTCTTCGTTCAAAATCTTACTTCAGGAACTCTCAACTTTGGAGTGGTTGGGAATCCATTTAGCTATAAGAGAGCATGTGTTTTGTTATTTTTCTATATATTTCTTTGAGGGGATGCTAATTCGATCCGAAGCTTCACGTTTGAAAGAAGGGGTATGAGCTACAGCTCCATACCTCATCCTTGTAATTTTTTGTAAATCACTTGCTAAATTACTTTGTTCTACAGGATAAGAATGTGAGATTTATAAACAAGTATGACGAAGCTTTATCGCACTTGATATTTGGAGGATCAGATATAATATTGTGCTACTCATATGAAGATCCAGTGCTGCAAGTGCCGGTATGTTGATGAAATAACTTTGGTGAAATAAAGTTTGTTCAATCTGATATTTTTTTCTTCCCTTAAAAAATAATGTTCTTCCATTGAAAAAGTATGTCTGACTTCTGGCATACTGTCTTTTGGGAATTTCTTTCTTATGTTCCTAAGCCATTCTGATATGCTTAATTGTTGGTCTAATACAGCTTAAAGCTATTAGATATGGAGCTGCCCCCATCTTGGTGACTTCAATTGAAAGAAGATTCAGGTTATACTTTCTCTAATCCCTAAGTAGCGCCATTCCCTCTGTCTCTCCTCTGCTTTTACCATTCTCGCTATCTTATAAAGGACTTATTTCATCCGGCATTTTTGTAACAGGCATTTTGTAGAGCTTGACTTTGGAAGCACTCAGTTTTCTCAGTACATCTCATTTTCTGGCATGTCATTAAAGCAAGCTCTCTATGAAATTGTGAGTTCTCTGGTTTAATCATATTGTTTCTTAACCTACTGTACTGCTTCATTTCTTCTTTTTACCTTAAAAACCCAAGTTCATGTTGCTTAGCTTTAGATTTCATTTTCTTTCCTAGAAAAATAATCCTGTAGAGTGGAGCCGAAAGATAGAAGAGGCAATGTTGAAGGACTTTTCATGGGACGCCGAGTGTTATGATGTGCATATATCTGCTTATGAATCTTTAAAGAACTTGTAAAACCTTGTATTATACATTTGGTGTAAAATCATGGCTCTGTTAGTTGGATGAAAATGTTATCCCAGAAAATGCTTTCCCCACTTTCCGCTGTTTAATTTAGAACGAGAAGAAGCGGGAAATCAGGTCTAAAAATTGATTATACATCATGAAAAAAATTATTTTTCTCTTTTATTTTTTTTATTTACAAAAAAGAAAATATATAGGAAGAGTTAGGACAATTTTCGTTCAAGACGAACTCCTAGCTTATTATGAAGGATCCTAATAATTAGTATGCATGAAATGTCCTAGGTAAGCAATATAATCTGTGGGAAATTTTGACTTTTGGTACCCATTTAAAATTTTATTTTATTTTGGTACCTCCAAAAGTTACAAAATATAGATTTTAGTACCACTTAACAGAATTCGTTAGGGTGAGAGTGAGGGATAACTCAAGTGGTAAGAGCTCCCCTCCCGATTCCAAGAGATCTTGGGATTGATTTCCATCACCTGCCCTTTTGGCTCTCTAAATGTCAAAAAAAAAAAAAAAAAAAATCCGTCAGAGTTCCGTTAAGCCACTGCCACTAGGCCTGTACAAAACTATCCGATCATCCGATCTGCAACCGATCTAAATTTTTAGATATCCGATCCAAATTTTCATTTCGGACCGGTAAGATCCGAAAAAGCGGATATCGGATGCGGATTTGGATATTGATTTCCAAAATTTCGAATATCCGATATCCGAAATATAAAGGCTGAAATAGTGAAATATATATAATTTTTTAAAATTATTTATATAAAATTGACCCTGTATTAATAACTTATTATAATATTCTTAATATATTTGATGATAATATTTATTGCAAAAAGATTACTATTTTGTTAGAATATGTTGTACAACTTAGCGATAAAAGAGTGGTAAAATTAGTGAAATTTATAAAGTAATTATAATCAATTTTACTTAATATTGGATAATGGATATCTGAAGCATCCGATCCGAAAAATTTGGATATCAGATATTAGAAATTTTCGGATCGGATTTGGATATCTATTTCTGATATCCGAGTATTCAGATATCGATCCGCAATCACATTTGGATTGGATATTCGATCCGTGAACAGACCTAATTGCCACCCCTCCCCCCTCGCCGTCAGCCGCCCTACCCCCTCCTCGTGCCGGCTGTCGGTGCCCAAATGTTCCCCTAGCGCCCGCGGCGACCCCACCCCCTCCCTTTCCCACTCTCGGCTGCCCCAACTCCCACCCCGACTCCACCAGCCGCCACCACACACTGCTCTCACCTCTCAATCACCCTCTCACGCACACCACCACCAACATCAACCCCGATTTCTCTACTCCATCTCTTCTCACTTGAATCACCAGCAACATCCTCGCCGCCCCCTTTAACTCCAGCAGCAATTCATCATTGTCGCTACTCTTCCACCAACAAAATCACAGCCTTCACCGCAACTCCAGCAACCGTAACATCGGCAGCATAAATTCCAGCCGCACCAGTCGCACCGTTACTCCCTCTGCGCCTCGCAAACTCCGGCACCTGTCGCCAACAGAAGCAGCATCAACCTCAATCGTTTGGCACCTCAAGCAACCCAATTATACCAATTTTACACCAAATTGAAAAGCCCTTATTTTGATATGATATCGTCGCGGTGGGCAGCGTGGACGGGGGAAAGGGAGGGGGGGTGGGGTTGCCGGTAGTCGGCATGGGGAGGGGGTTGGGGGGCTGGCAGAGAAGGTGGTTGAGGAGGAAGGGGTGGCTGGAAGGTTGCAGGATGATGGCTGGGCCCTACTAACGGAAATCGTACCGTAACAGAAATTAGACAGAGGTACCAAAAGCTATAATTTTTACCCTTGATAGGTATCAAAATGAAATAAAATTTTAGATGAGTACCAAAAGTTAATAAAAGCCATTTTTTCGTGGTACCAAATTTCAAAATTTTCTAATCTGTTGCTAATTTGTCTTTTGCCTTCTCTACAGATTTGATGTGACATTTTCAAATCACAATAGCTGATAAGCCTTGCACTTTAAAATATGAATGATAAATAAATTATCACCTTCAATTAAAAATATAACTATTATGGAAGGGCTATGAATCCATGATAGAGTTTATAAATCAATTTTAGGCTTTAACCATTAGTTTAAATTTTTGACTGAGTTGGTCCCTTGACATGGTCAAGACCAAGAGGTCACGGGTTTAAATCTCAAACACCCCTTTTTAAAGCCCATAAGGCTCTTGTGTAAGGGGCGTGATAAATTGTATAGCTGGACTTTAACCATTAGGTTACCTTTAGATTGTGTTGGTTCTTTAATAGGCTTAAAAAACATTGCAGAGAGTAGTAGCATAAGCAATAAGAGGGGTACTCGTGCCAATATTTACAGATGGACTATAAATATCATTACCTAAATGATCCTTGGAGCCACACGAATGATCATAGGGTTAGGACAAGAAATACATGAGCTAGGAGGGGTATCAAAAGAATCTAGGCAAGAACAAAAGTTCCATACAGAAACACATTTTGAGCTCAGGAATAAATGACCTAAATAAAAAAGTTGTTCCATCAAATATAAATGCCCTTTTAGTTTTCCAACTACTCTAAGAAAAAGCTATAATTTGAATAGTTGACACTAAGTTCCCATCCATCAAAATGCTTAGGATACAGTTTGATTTGTTTTGATTCCAAGGAAAATACATAACCATCACCTAATACCACTTTACGTCACCCTTATTATCGGCTAATAACAAAATTGATGAGGTGAGTAGGCTAACTTTAGCTCCAGGATATCCTCAAAATCTGTAGTTTTTATTGTGTCTCTCCTTGATGAATCAAATTGTTGGAAAGTATGGGTGGAAGTGTTGGTGGACTTTTAAATTTTGAAGGAATAATTGGTGAATGATGAATTGGAAGCAGTAGGGACTGCAGTGTAAAAGAAGATTAATTATTTTATTATATGATATTGCTTAACTTACACTTTACATTGCATCATCTAATGCATATATAAGTGAATGAGGAGTAGCTCATGGTTAGAGATTTCCTCCCGATTTTTATGGCTCTCTAAACACCAAAAAATAATAAAAAAATAATCTAATGCATATATATAGTAGTAGTATGTTGGTTAATATTTCTCGATACTTAATTTTCCTACATGCTAGATTTTTCGCAAGATATTCCATAAAATTTTACTATGATATTTTTACATTGTGATAAATCATTCTAGAAGTTTTTTTAGATTACTATATTTAAACACAAACTACTCTATCAATTGAGTAAACGCTTCCACCTCAAAGACCAAATTTGGTGCCTCTTTGTGTTCTGCCGATGTGTCATCGCTATAACTCCGCAAGATTTTACTTTTTTCCTATACTGCTACCTCATCAGATATAAAAAGACAAATACTATAATAACAACTTCCTAACTCACATTTGTGTAAGATATTACACCGAATCTAATAATTTTTAATAGTTCAGCAGTCTAACTATTTTGGTAAGTTGGCAAAATTATAACGAAACAATAACCAAATCATCAATTTCATTTATATCAACCTTACGAAAAATGGGAATAAATTAAATTTTTTATTACCTTCTACCTTTTCCTATTGTCCCTTCTCTTTCCACTAGTCGTCTTCTTCTGTTTCCGTCCCCCCCCCCCCTTTTTTTAAACATTTCTCTCGGCTGCTTCTCAAACTAACCATTGCTTCGAATTCCCTATCCTCTAGTTTGATGCATTAGTGTCGATCATCATATAACACATCCAATTTCTCCTTCTCAATACATTCAACATCCTTCTTGTTATAATGGATGTGTGCAATGGAACGATTTGGAAATTCACCCTCTCATACAATATAAAATAATAGCAAAACACGATAATAAAAGAGACAATGTTTATGAGAAAATTTAGATTTCCTCCCCTAAAAAAAATTATTGTGTTATTGAGTTCCTACAAAATAAGGCAATAACCCTCTTGATGAATTTTATCCTCAATAAACCATCGTTATTTTCAACCTTTTTATATTAAGCCTAAACCCTCTTACATAGGCTAACCGCCAGAAACCCCATCAATTAAAATATTTTACTTGCTCTCCAAAACTATATAATCCTAGATTGATTATATATCTAAGATCTATCTAGTTTTCTAATTACAAACCTCATCTAACTTTTTTTTTGAACAAAGATTGATTTATAAATAAAAAGTCATACGACATCTACAAAGAGATTTATATCAAACAAATACATGACAATTGAATTAAATAAAAAATCCTTTCAGCAAAGCTACGATCATTGTAGCAAACCCTACATTATGTATACCCTCTTTCACATCGCTGTGATTTATAGCCTTCTTCGACGATGTATAACACCCCAATAATTCTCTATGTGTAATAAAATACAAGAGAATTACTGACGTGCTACGCCACGTGTTCAAACGTTAAGGCTAATTCAGAATTTAGCATCGGAAAAACTAACTCAGTTATAAATAAGTTTCAAAACCAACGAACAAAACAAAATTAAATCTTACAAATTGGAACCATTAAGGCCCTTATTCAAAACCCAATAAACAAAGTATTAAATAAATCAAACCAGAGTTTAAATAATTCAAACTTATGAAATGAAATAAACTGCGAACAATAACCAACTCTCCACTCAAAATCCCACCACCTTGATGCATGTCCAAACTATGTAAACACCTGTGATAAGTCTGCTCCCCAATATTACAAGTGTAAAGATTGGATCATTACAGGTCATTGAAAGGCGAAGACCATGACCAATAAAAAGACACACAAAAGCACGCAATCAGCAACACTGAGTACATACAAGCTACGAAGTATAACAAAGAATTCCTAGCATGCTACTAATTATCAATCACACACAACAATTTCATTATTGATTCAAACACATGACTCAATAGTTAACATTACTAGGACTTTCTAATTAGTAGTGATTATTTCATTTCAATTTATTCATTGGATTAAGTTCATTGGATTAAGCTATAGAGAAGGTTGTCTCCCCGTGCTCCAATTTGGAACATCAATAATAGAAAAACCCCATGCCTCCTTTCGGAAACATCAATAAACTTCCAATGGCAGACGGGCGTGATTCCGTGGCCATAGCTAGTATGAGATCCCATCTAACTACTTATAGTTTTAAAAAGTATTTGAAAACAAGAGACTCGTAGATTAGACGGCT